ACAAAAGGAGGGTATTATCAATTATAGTAATTCATTATTGCTGCTTAACAAATTACCCCAAAGTGAAGACAACAATAAATATTTAAGATCTCATTCAGTTTCTGAGGGTCAGGAATTCAGGAGTGGCTTAGCAGCCTGGTTCTTGTTCATGGTCTCTCATGAAGGTACACCAAGATGTCATCAGGACTGCAGGCACCTGCAGGTTTGGTCAGGGCTGGTGGATCTGCTGATCTCTTCTATAGAATGGGGCTAATAATACCTACCTTGACAAGTTTGTCACAGTGGCATATGTGATAATGCTCGTGAAAAGCTTCGTGTAATTATGCAGATGCTTCAAAGACAGATCTAAAATCAGAGTTGTGCTTCATGGTTGAATGTGAAAGTTCTTACAGCCCAGTTCTAATCAACAATAACAACAATGATAACAGCTAGCATTTAATGATACAACCTTTAATAATATAATAATAACTAGCTTCGTGCCTGTCACTCTACTGAATGCTTTGTGGTCATCGCTTCTTTTTTCCTTTATTTTCTTATGTCCCCCTCACTCCCCTTTGGGGTATGTTTAAATCAGGATCTGGGGTGAATCTTGGACTCCAGGGCCTGGAGTCTTCGGAAAATTTTTTTGCAAATGGTGGTAGCTGTGGATCAGAGCGAAATCTTGGAAGCTTTGGCTGCCAAAATAAAATACTCTAAACAGGTGATGGAAGACTTTAAGTGGAATGGACTCCCCACCACAATTTTTAAGAGACCCCGATAAATACCACTGCCCTGTGGGTGTTGATTCTTCTCCCTAGAGGGCAGAAAGTAGCCAGGAATGAAGCTATAGGCTGAAATAGAATTCTGTGAATGTTGGCAAGTTAGCAATTTTACACTAAAGCTACCTTGAAGCTTGAGGTCTTTAAATATTATACAAATTAAACAAACGAATTTTCCAAACTTAAGGGTCTGATTTCCAGAAGTCACTGCCATGGATGTGATGAGCTCACCAGGGGAGAGCGCCTCCTTGTGGCCCAGGAGAAAACAAAGCATTACTATTTGGTCCTGAGGACTTGAATGCTAAAACAAAGTCACTCCCTCCTAATACTTCAGGGAATCAACTTATGTCTCTTTAAAGCAAATCTGACAGAAGGTTAACATTTACTACATCTAGGTGTGTGTATGGGGAGGGGTAATGTGGGCATTCATTGTACCCTTCTCTCAACTTCTCTGAATGTTTGTAATACATCTTTCATTATAAAACATGTTGAGAAAAAGGAAAAGATTGATCATCAGAAAAATAAAAGTAGGACATGTATAATCTCATAGGAAATGAAAGGACAGTACTTTCAGTGGCATATATTTAGCTTTATGAAAAATTCACTTCCTTTCCCTTATTTTTCTCACTTTCCCATGGAGGAGTAAAAACCCCTGGGCAGCCACTTGAGGACCAGCATTGGGAACCCCCTTTTCTGGAAAAGCAGCACATGGGGCAGTTAGTTTGGAGGATGAGTTTGGGGCCAGTACCTTGTTTGGATTTTAATCCCAGGTCCTGCTGTCTCTTGCTAGTGACCTTGGGCAAGTTACTTAAATTCCTTGCACTTCAGTTTCCTTATCTGTAAAAATTGAACTGATAATAATGGAGTAAGAAAAGTGAAGTGACTTGGCCACTGTCACACACAGCTTGTGAGTGACATTAACTGAGTTTGGTTCCAAAGATAAATTACAAGAAACCCTCTCACTGAAACTCTCCATTGTCTCTTTATATCTAGCTCTAATAGACAATAATAACAATGATAATAGCTAACATTTAATGATATAAGAGGTCTTGGTTCAAACCTCTCTTAAAAGCCTTAAACCATGCTTCTTGGTGTGTCTGTTGGTATTATCCTAATTGACTGACTTCTAGATACAGGTGGGTATTTCATTTTTCTTGTTTTTTTTCTCAGAGACATAGCATAATCCCCCCCTCTCCCACACACACACACTCATTCTGTGTTTGAGTGAATAAGTGAAATACAAACACACCTTCCTACGTAAGGCCACGTAAGCCAGGAGAGAGTTCAATATTCTACCTTATTGGTTACCTCACCTGAGAAGTTTATCAGAAAAACCAGGAAGCTTTCCAGGTCTCATTAGCATATTGAGTTTGGCACTACAACATGAGGCTTAATTTCCCAAAAAGTGACTTAAGTTAAAGCACATTTTGCGGAATTGTTGGGGTGTTTGTGTGTATGATGGAGAGGGAAATGGCCGTTGTTGCGGTAACGATAATGAACTAAAGAAATGTTACACTAAACCTGGTGCCCACTGCATGAGTAAGGCCAAATTCAGCAAAAATTGATCAATCTTGTGTTCATAATTTGTCAGTTATTGCAGAAGTAACGAATCAAAAAGAAAAGACGGTTTAAATGTAGAAATCCTTGTCAGGAATTGGGCTTTAGTCTTTAAAACCGTGGACAGATAGCGCCATCTGGTGTGCAGTTGTATAATCACATACTGAAAAAAAAATTTAACCTCCTTACTAGTCATCAATGTGACTCACTTGGCTTTATAAAACCAAACCATTCTCTAGTCTTTCTTAGGGGTACATGTTGACAACGTGGGCTCATTCCCAAACTTAAGGCTCTTAACACCCTTAATAGTTCTACAAGCTCAGCAGGGCTTGCCGTTTGATAGATCTGCGTAAGACCAAAGTCAAAGCCACCTGGAAGCTAAAGTCCAAGGGGAGCAGCAGAAACTATGAGTAAATAGAGGAAGCCAGTAAAAAGGAAGCAGAAAAATGTAGCTCATGTGCAGGGAGACGGGGAGCAAGAGATCATGATACTCACGAGAGAAGAATAACAGCCTGTCCTTGGGCTCCCTGATAACATCCTAATTTAGCTCATGCGCTCCCCGATCATAGACTTTTGAATGAGTCTCTGTTGCTTGCAGTCAAGCAAGCATGACTAAAACAGTATCAGTTTCAGTGATCCCCAAAGACATACTCGTAAATCCTAAAATCTGGCATGCCTTCTCTCCCAACTCCCCAAATGTCTGCATGTCTTATTTCTTTAAACTGATAGAGCCACAGACAGGGTGTGGGAAGAGAGGAATAAAATGAGGTCATTACAACCATTTGGGGCCTTTATTGGTGTCTGGGCCACCCACCCAGACTACTGTGTCAGTCCATGTCTCTCACCTGTGGATGGACTAGGGATTGAAGAGGAGGTGCTGTCAGGCAATGCTAGAGAACTTGGCAATCAGAACCAGCAGTGTCTGAGTACCACCTTGTGAATCTCTGGCCAAAAATGGACTCTTCAGTGCCTCAAAGGAATCTTAGTGTTTGATTCACGAGTGGGCAATTTCCTGGCTTACTGTCAGTATAGACCAGTGGTTCCTAGCTGGGGGTACAATTGGCAGTGTCTGGAGACATTTTTGGTTGTGACAGCTGTGGGAAGAGAGACACTACCGCATCCAGTGGGTCAAGGCCAGAGATGCTGCTACACATCCTACAATGCATAGGACAGCTCCCCACAACAAAGAGTTATCTGGCCCCAAATGTCAGTAGTGCTGAGGTTGAGAAACCCTGGTGTCCATGGCAGGAGAAGCATATGGGGATTTGTTAAAGTGGAAGGAAGAGCAGAAGGTTGGCCCAAAAGTTGAGAATTTTACCAGTGGGGCCACTACCCAGTTTGGAGAAGGTACCATACCGTAACACTACCTTTGTGACAAGTCACAGGCAACAGGTACCAGTAGAGGCTCTGATAAGAGCAACCCAAGATAAAAATCTAGCAGTCAGTCCTTGAGAAGCTGAGCAGAGGCAGAGGCGGAGGCTAATCAGTTTGACTCCATTTACCCTCTCCCCACCATTAGGGGACTTTGTGACCTAATTTCCTATTCATTGCTATTAGAGGAATAAATTGACTTGGGTGACAGTGGCCCTGGGTTAAATTGGAATGAGCAGAAAAGCAGCAAGTTAATGGTAGCTTATTTAAATGCACCTGGGTTTAGAAAGAGGGATGTTTCGATAGGTCTGAGATGGGATAGTGGGCCTGTTAAAATTAAAACATGCTTTCATTAAGTTAGCTTTCGGTTTTTCAAAGAAAAGTGAGTCTCTCCCCTCAAGAGCATGCAGAGCATGAATCCCCAAAAAGATCAATTTCAGGACTGGAAGACAAAAAGCAGTACTCCCTCTCTCCCCACTTTAAAGCATGTAGTTTTTCTGACAGAGGCTTGCATTCTTCTGAGACCTAGGCCAGAGAAATCAGGATCAGATTTCTCTGGAATGCTGAGCTGTGGAGCATGTTCAAAGAAGAGAATGTTCTGGAAAACTCCTTAGGCAAGACCAAGTTGAAGATACGCTTCCGGGTTTTTTCACAGGACATTATAGGTTATTTGTAGGTGCTCCAGGAGGACTTCAGAGCATCCACTTTGTCAATTGTGTCAAACTAGTTTGACTTACAGAGGGCCAAACCTAAGGAGTCTCATTCATTCATTCATTCATTCATTCACTCCATTTAATTCATTTGTAGGTGTTGGCATTTTATAAGTACTACCAATAGATAGAAGCATTAAGAAGTGGTGCTTTGTCAGTTTGGTCAGGTGCATGCATATAAATAAGTAATTGTTAAATGTTAGCCTCTTGATTATCAACAGAACCATGCTGTGGCTGGAAGAGATTTCTTCAGGACTGGGGGTAATCAGGTGAGGGAATTTGCATTTTTAACGTTCTTCAAGTTTTAGAACGCTGTGTTTACACGCACAACGAAGTTTGTGAATCAGCCTGGGTGATGGAAAGCTCTGGAAGATTTCTTAGCAGGAACGTTCACACTTCATAATGCCCTAAAACAAGGAGAAGCTAGAGTTCAGAAAACCAGCACCTGCATCCTTCCTTTCTGTCTAGTCCGGTGGGGCCTGGACTACATTTCCCAGGTGTCCCACTTGCAAAAGCTTCTGCTGGATTGGTCAGAATAATACGGACGGGATTACGGGTCGCCCAGCAACGAGAGGAATCCTGGACTGTGACTGGAAGCCCACGCCCCTTCCCTGCGGCCAGGAGGATAACGAAAGCTCAGCTCCATCTCCACAGCCATAGAGCGCTCTCCGGATTTTGCTTCCATCCGAGCGGCAGTGCAACCTCCTCGGCGCTTTCTCCGCCGTTCTTTCTAGGCCCCGCCCCTTTTACGCTGGCGGCAGCATAAACTCCGGAAACTGGACTCTTGTCTACTGAGTCAATTGAGCGACTCTGGGCGGCGCAGTGCGCAGGCGCGAGCGTTTGGGTTCCGACGCGCGCGGTGCTCGGTTACTGTAGCAGGAGTGAGTTCCTCAGCGTGGAGACCCTGCAGCTGGCGGCCGAGCGAGCGAGTGAGTGAGCGAGCACCGCCTCTGCCGCCATGGCAGCCCTGCGCTACGCCGGCCTGGACGACACGGACAGCGAGGACGAGCTGCCCCTGGGCTGGGAGCAGAGAACCACCAAGGACGGCTGGGTTTACTATGCCAAGTAAGGGGGCTGCGGTGGGGCCGCAGGGTCTGGGAAACACGTGGAGTGGGACGCACCTGGAACCTAATGGCCTGACGTGCCCGGGACACTGTGCTGCCCTGAAAGCCACCTGCGCCGGGAAGGGCGCGGGCCCGCGCTCCACCTTGGCGAGGGCGGGCAAAGTGGCAGTGATGGAGGAAGCTTCAGATGGAAGGCTTCCAGGGTCCTGAGGAGAGGGGCCGGTCCACTCTCTGGGCCCTTGGTTAAGCCGGGGGTCACCTGGCAGGGCCCAGGAGCGCCCTCTGCTGCGCAGGAGGCAGCGCTGCACGGTGCAATGATGGCAAAGGGGCCTTATCCCCTCCTCTAAAAAATGGGGGCGGGAAAAAGGCAGATACCCAGCTCCCTCCTCAGGGGCCTGTGGTGGGGAACCTAAGAGTATGTATTTTTAACAAATGGCCTAATATGGCTATGTATATGTGTATACGTATATGTGTGTACATATACTCTAGTAGCTAATATAGCTTCATTATAGTTTCCCTGGGAAAGTTTGGAAACACTAGTAGACCCTTTCTCCCATCACTTCCTGTGTGACCTTGGGCCATTGGAAGAACCCTCAGTCACAGTTTTCTCATCTGTAAAATGGGGTGATATCAGCGTTTTAGTCCAGGGAGTGTACATAAAGCACTGAACACAGGTTTAGTACGTACTCTGATTAAGAACTGTTAGCGTTTCCAGCTGTCCCTGCAGCTGTGACAGCACCGCCTTAGGCTTGGCATTAGAGCTACCTGGGGAAATCTGTTGTAAATACAGATTTCATGTCTGCACAGATACCCTCACGTTGTGGGCACCTAACGGGAATCTATTTTTTAAACTTTCCAGGTGAGGCAGGCTGTCCCTTGGCTTTGAGAAATATGGATGTACGTCAGTGATTTTCAACATCTGGAAAACTTAAAAAGTATCTTTCCCTTGTTCCACTTCCTAAGAGTCTCCTTTAATTGGTTCGCTGCCCCCCCCCCCCACTGCTATGTTGTAAAAGCTTCGCAGGTGATTCTAATCTACCCAAGCTTGTGCGTCACTGCTGTCTTTGATGGCACTGTAGACAGAGAAACAGCAAAATAAGACCTTGCTGAGTTCATTCAAGACACATCGGGGCCTTATCATGTGCCAGGCTCTTTGCTGGGCGTGAGTTATACCGAGATAAATAAGACCCAGGTGTCACCCTGAATGAGGGACATGCAGTGAGGAGTTCCAGTGCAGTGTGTGTAGCGAGTGGCAGTCTCTCTCGCAGCAGGCATGTGTGGTTCGGTGGGCACCTCAGGTAAGATGACCTGGTAGAGTTGGCACCTGCCTTAGAGCACAAGTGGAAGTGGGTGGGTCACGGAGGCAGGAGGGCAGCCCATGTAGAGGAAATAAAATAGAGCCCCGCCCCCCCCTCCCCTCCACATGGCCTGTGCAGTTGGTGCAGGAATGTGAAGATTGAGGCAGGGGAGGAAGGACCCAGTTTATGGAGGCCCTTTGGTGCCTTCTGGAGGGGTCGGGACCCAGGGGTCCATTGAAGGATTGGAGCCAGAGAGTGACGTTGGTGTGTGTTTTTAGAAAGATGATTTGTGCTCTGGAGAATTAAAGGGGCGATTCTAGCAGCACGGAGCCATTGGGCTCCTCCTGCAGGGCTCTGGGCAGCTCCTGGATGGGCACTTGCTATTCCTTCTACCTTTGTGTGGAGGCCCTTTCATCCCTTAGAGCTGGGCTTAAATGCACTGCCCTAGAGACCTTCCCCTTGTACCCCAGCCCCGCGTCTTCCTCCCAGCATCTTGTCACCTGCCTCGTAGTACTTAGCCTTGTCCGTCGTCATGTGAGCCATACCCTGATCGCTCTGTCTCCCTCCCTGGGTTGTAAACTTCATCAGGGCAGTGGCCTTTTCTTGTTCACCTCTGTATCCCCAGTGCTTAGCACCATAAAGTAAATCCACACAGAATGAGTCAATGAATTCACCCAGCCAAAGTTTACTGCGGGCCTCCGTGGGCAGGTGGCTTCCTGAGCCCCGGGAATGGGAAGCGGTGCAGGGCCCTCCTCCTCCTCCTGCTCTGTGGGAGGCCTGTCCTGTTCTGGCCGCTCCCCCCAGAGGCTCCCTGGCTTTCCCTCAGGCCTACCTGGAGCCTGGGGTTAGGTCTGGAGGCACCCTGCCTTCTCCCTGTGCCTTGTCTCATGCTGGCTGGCCTTGTCCATCTGCTGCTTTCCTACACGGCGTCTGCTGTAGAGGCTTGGGGCTCTCCTTTCATGAAATAAGATCTGCGCACTCTAGCCAGCTCCTCTGAGAACTTCTGGGGAGCCCGTGGCCAGGGGATGCAGTGGCATGTATATTCTTCTTTTTTTTTTTTTTAAGATTTTTATTGGGGAATTGGGGGAAAGGGAACAGACAAGTTGCTGTCATTTTATTCTTCAGTCTAGTTGTGGAGGATGTTGCTTCACTGGCCCAAGTTGGCACCATCATTGCGCTCTTCCCAGGTGAGGCAGATCAGTCGCCAGCTTCTGGACGGCCGCTCACTGCGGCTGCTGGCCGCTCATGCTGGCTGCTGGCTACACACGGTAGCCCATGGCAACCCACTGCAGCAGGGGACTGCAGCCTACACCATAGCCGGCGACTCACAGCAGCCCAGCTCCAGGTTGAGCTGTTGTTCAGCATCTTAGCTGTGGAGGGCAGTGTCACTGGTCCTCATATGTGGGATCCGAACCGGGGCCCTCTGGCGTCCCAAGCCAGTTCTTAACCATCACGCCACTCAGCCGGCCCAGTATTCTTTTAAAAGCCACGTCCCCCTTGCAAGCCTCCATCATTGTTTTAGGTCTCAAACTAGCCTGCCTGGCCCCGTTGTTTACACTGACGTCTGTGACAAGGCCTGGCTGGCTCCCAGCTGCGGGGTTACCTCTCCCCAGACCCTTTTTCCAGTCCCGCTGGCCCACTGTTCTCTGGCTCTCAGGGCTGAAGGATACCTCTGACTGACCCCAACCCTGGATTCCCAGCAGGCCCCTTGATCTCTCCTGACCTGCAAGCATCATGGCCCTTCTTTTCCCTCCTAACTCTAGAACGGTCACTTGTCCTTCTCCTTGGGTTTTGGAGCCTTTGCAAATGGGCTATCAGAAGCCTGCCGTTTGAGTAGTTCCTTCCGTGGCAGTGGGGCCATGCCCAAGGACAGAGGCTGTACAGCCAGTGTGACCTCCAGGGTCTTGTGGAGCCCCCTTACAGCATCCCCCTCTCCTGTTGTGTGGGTTCTGTGCTCCCTTGTGCTTCTTCACGTGCCCATGGTGCACTCCTAGACCTCAAGGTACACACATCACGTGGCTTCAGGGCCACCAGGCTGGACTCCCAGGAAGAGGATGTTTCTGCCTCCCAGGGAGAGGCAGACCTGTCACCAGAGAGAGAGCTGGTGGGCCTTTCTCACCTCCCTGGCACGGTCCAGAACAGCCCCCTGCCTAAACCAGGGGATGGAGACAGAAGGATGAGGAATCAGTGCTGGGAGCTGTAGTTGCAGTCATCTGGGTCTGCCGCCCGATCTCCCTTCCGAAGCCCAGGCTTCCTGGCAGCCAGAGGGCCAGCTGGCCTTGCCCTTTGGGGAGGTGGTCCCCTTGTCCACAGGGCCGGTTCTCCTCATGGGTAGCTCTGGGTCACTCAGTTAAAGAAACTGTGGTTAAAAAAAAAAAAAATCTTAGAGAAGCATACTTGAAAATGATAACCATGTAATGTGGTATGAATTTAATGTTGATCCCTGTGGCTCAAATTAAGATCACTGTTAATTATCTTTTTAAATGACAAAACGCTTATTGAAAGAAAATAAAAGAGGGCTTCTGTTTAAGGAAGAATAAGATAACACTTTGGGGACATGTGTCGTAAGTTTCTATTCATCAAAAAGTCATTTTAGGTTACAATTAAAAAGAGCACCTTTTAATTAATTTTTGTATGTAAGTATTAATTTAAAATAATACTTATAACTTGAAAGCCATGGCTCTTAGGTCTTCACGCCTTAACTCATTCAGTCCACTTTAACCTGAAGAAGGTGCTATTATTATCCCCATTTTATTGATGGGGAAACAGAGGCATACGGAGGTTAAACACCTCCTCCAAGGGCACCTGGCTGGTGAGTGGCTGAGCCAGAAAATGTGGGCATCAGGCTCTGGAATCCTCGCTGCCGAATTTATACTCTCTTCACTCCTCAGTTAAGGCCCAGCGTCCTTTCACAGGATCACTGTGCCCTGAGTTGGCAATGTCTTGAGACACTTTTCCGTGGACACAACTACGGGGAGTGGCATATTAGCATCTAGTGGGTGGAGACCAGGGAAGCTGCTCATCACCCTACGATGCATGGGACGGCCCCCACAGCAAAGAACCATCCCGCCCCGCCTGGCAGGGGAGTGAGTAAGAAACCCTGGCGTTTTCTGTTTCAGTGAAGAACACGGTGTGACAATGTTTGTTTATTTTTTTAATGTTTTTTTTCAGGACAGGAGAAACCAATGTTCTGAGTGAATTTTCCAGCTGCTTTGGAAAGCGTTTATTCCTTTCCTATGTTTACATTTGGGCGCCTGCTGTTGGCTAGGCGCGGACCTGGGTGTCTGAGGGTTTCATCTGGATGCAGGTCTGGGATGCCCTTTACTCCCCAGCACGCCTGCTGTGGAGCCTCAGCATTCCTCTCTTGGGGTTGTTACTTTGTGGATCCTTGAGGGCAGGCTTTTTTGGAACTGGGTTCCAAGCTCATTGAATGTGTGCCTGTGGGTTGAAAACTACTTTTAATGTCAAGCAAAGGAAGATGTGAGGACACCTGTAAATTTACCTGCAGAAGCATGAGGCACAGCAAAGCACAGAGCAGGAGTTTTATGTTGTTGCCAGTGTTTGGCTGATGTGATTGCTGTTCCCTTCGGTTTGCAAGAAGCAGGAGTCGTGTCAATGAGAGGCAGGTTGTCCTTACCAGGGAGTCAGGTAGTTTTTCATGGTGGTTGCTGTACAAATAAGAGTCGGTCCTTGCTACCGATACTATGTGCTTGTATGATAATTGGATCATTCGCCCATCACTGTCACAGGTATGGTGTCTCTGACCTTTCCAGGAGCTCCTTTGAGGTGGGTGTGTGGCCAGGGACTGAATACAGGCAGTGTGGGAACTCAGGTCTTCTGCCTTCTGAGTCCGGTGCCCACGCTGTCCCTGCACCGGCCACTGAGAGTTTACAAACACAGAACAGAAGCCAGCAGTTCCTGAAAAAGGCCTTGCTTGTGACTCGTGAAATTTTACAGCAAATTCATGCTCTCTCTGTTTATCCTCTTTAAAATAATTGATAGGGGAGGAATATTCAAATTTTATCATCTAGATGTTAGTGATTAAATATTTTCTACTTTGGCATGGGTGTGTGAATTTTTCGGAAATCCATCTTCCCCTTTGAATGCCTCTGGCAACATCCAGCTGTTTCCCTGATGAAGTAATTTTATGTTTTCCTTGATACTGTATCACCTGTTGACAGGTGTTTCTCGTCTGTTATTGGATCACGATTTTAATTATAACTTAGTGTGCTCTTCTGAGATGAAATGCTAAGTTTGACACAGAAATCAGACTAGTGTGTATATTTGATTTGTTCAAAATCATAACACTGTTGAGGGCTTCTTACATGCCAGGTACTGTGTTCAACCCTTTGTGTACAGTATCCTCATGACGTTCCCCTGAGATCAGTACTAGGATTATTTCCATTTTGTGGATGGGGAAATTGAGGCCCCAAGGTTGAGTAACTTGACCAAAGGCATACAGCTAGATGACCTTTGGGGGCCATCTTCCTGCATTCTTAATTAGGCGCAATTAGGAATCAGTGGTTGAGAAACACTTTGGAGTTATATCTGTGCAAAGAACAAACATTTAAGAAGATTACTGTTATACCTAAATGATACCTAAATGTTAGCATTATGAATTAGACTGAAGTTTGTCAATCTATTTTGGAATAAAACAAAAACAAATATAAAATGAAACACCTCTCTAGATATTTTGAGCGATTCAGCGAGCTTCCTACAGTTGTCCCACCGCCGAGGTGTTGGTCCTGTTTCCCTTCTTCCTCCTCCTCCACAACCAGCCTGTAAAGGCTTTCAGGACATCTCCACAGGTTGCTGCTGCTGCCAACCTAGAGAATTGGGCCGGATACAAGCAGGAACATTTATGCCCTACTTCTTTCTGAATGTCTGACTTGACTATTCTTGAGAGAGTATTATTATTTGGGAGAGAAAAAAGCTTACTGCGGTGGCTTAATGTATTTAGAAGTATAACTTTTACTTATTGTTATTTTTTATTTATTTATTTTTTAATAGTCACACTGAGGAGAAGACTCAATGGGAACATCCGAAAACTGGAAAAAGAAAAAGAATAGCAGGAGGTTTGTATTTTTTTGTCATAAAGCAAAGAACCTTGTATTTAAAGCATTAATTAGGAAAAATATTCCAGGCATGGAGGTGACAGGTCACTGTGTCATTCTGCAAAGGCTCCCCAATAGGGGATTGTCAAGGAACTGGACTCTCACTGTGCAGAGCTCATGGGATTTGGCAGAAGGAGGTGATGCGATCTTGGGGTGCAGTGGTGAGGATGGTTTGTTTCTGGTCTTAAATTTTAAAAGGCATTAACATAATAGGGACCATGGACTCACAGTTTATTAGATTTTCCTATAGTTGCCTGTTGGTAAACTTATTCTTGGTTCCTGTCATGGAATTAAATATACCAGTGTTTGGTGGCATTCCATCAAACATCACCATGATTTATGGGTGCTTTTGAGCAAGTGTGTGACCAATGGAATAGACGTATAAGGAGGTCCTTGACGGTTAGGGGAAGAGACAGTATATGTCCCCATGGAAGAAAATGAGCCTGCTCTCTTATATCCTACACGAGGCATCACAAGTCAGCGTACAAATAGTAAAGACACAGTCTATGAATTCATTCAAGGGAGCGTGCACGTTGATCGGAGTACCCAGTAAGGTTTTCATCAAAAGCAAGAGCAGAGTGAAGTGTTTAAGAAAGTGTTTAAGAATGATCAAGGGGCGGCTGGTTAGCTCAGGTGGTTAGAGCGCAGTGCTCATAACACCAAGGATGTTGGTTCGATCCCCGCGTGGGCCACTGAGCTGCGCCCTCCACAAGTCGATTGAAACAACTACTTGACTTGGAGCTGATGGGTCCTGGAAAAACACACTGTTCCCCAATAAAATAAAATTAAAAAAAAGGATGCTCAAGAATGAAACAGAGTTTTATTTCTGAGCAAGAGGAGGAAATGTGGAGTCCAGTTGGGGTGATGGGCCTTCTGCCACTGCCACGTGACCTAGCGTGGCAAAGCGACAGCTGTTGGTCTGGTGGGATCGGCTTGGGCAGGGGCTGGAAGGGCATGGAGCCTGATTCTGACCTGGGGACTTGGGCTTCAGTTCCCCACCCCTACTGCGTGGAGACCTGTCAGTCTTTCCTGTGTTTCAGATTTGCCATATGGATGGGAACAAGAAACGGATGAGAACGGACAAGTGTATTTTGTCGAGTAAGTGTCTACACAGTAACTATTTTCAGCCATGTTGCTTTTTAATATTTTTTATTATAAGAGTAATATACATTGACTGTAGAAAAATATGAAGTAGTATATAACTAATCTTATCAGCAGGAGTAACTATTTTTAACAATTTTTGCTTTTATTCTTCCCATCTGTTTTATATACATACGCTTTCTTAAAAAAAATGATGGGAATGTACTGTGTGAACTGTTTAGTAGCTTGTGTTTTCCACATGTCTTTCTGAGCATTTTCTCATATACTTATATATTTTTGAAGAAGATGATGTTTAATGGCCACTGAGAATTATTTTGTACAGATGTACTGCAACTTATCAAATTACCTATTGGGCATCAGTGTTGTTAAGTTCCCATTATTGGGCATCTATAATTATAAATGCTGCTTTGAGCATCCTTGTCTGTAAAACTCTGTTTACAGTAAATTCCAATGACAAACAACAATAGTAGCTACCTGTCTAGCAAATAACGTGAGCCAGGCGTGATTCTTGTCAACTTACACCTGTAGTATTAGCTCATTCAATCCCCACAGTGCCCCAAGGGAGGCAAGCTGGCACCCCGCTGTCCCGGCTGGTCATGTTGCCTCCGGAGCTTGTTACAGTCGTGTGCTGGCAATTGTAACAACAACTCTCTAGGGGGAAAAGCCCAGATTTGTTTCCATGGTGTAAACACTTGCCCCACAGCCTAGTTCAAGCTCCTAAGGTGAAGTCACCGAGGAGTTGGGAACACATGTGCACGTTGGGCTCTTGTAAGCCAGTGTGAACTGGCTTCTGCACAGCATGATGTGTAACATTGGAGTCAAAATGCTTATCTGGCAGCTTTCGCTGTCAAGAAAATGAAAGTTGGATTATTCTTGGGTCCTAGTGTTTATAGATTGATGAGCATAGATTGAAAACTATATATAATTTTACACATATACATTACAAATCATGAAATCTCATCTCTCTCTTTCCGGAGAGTTCTTAATAGTTTTTAAGCTATTTTGAGGTCTTTATCTCAAATCCCAAGAATATATTTAAAATGTCAAAAATAAATTCTGTTACATAAGGAGTAGCCTGTTAATCCATATGTACTAATATATATTTTAGTATTGTTTTTACAAGATTTAGATCAACTCCAAATCAAAAAGTTAGAGTGCTTGTAGGAGATATAAGTACAGTCTTGAAATGAAAATGATTAGAATTTTAGTAGTTGGTCAGTTTCATATTTACTGTTAAGACTTTTTCTGATTTTGAGTTTCCTGCTTCTCTACCAGTCTCCTTAGGCCCTGGCACTGGGCCAAGAGATTTAATTGAAATTGACTGAAAAGAGCGTGACAGATCCTATAGTCACATTTATATAAATTAAAAACAAACAAAAAAAACCCCCCAAAATCTGTTTTCTCTTTTGAGATCTAAGGGTACAAGGCAATGCTTATTACACATTACAGTGTATCTAGGCGAGTCTGCAGGAGAGGAGTGGATGAGGACCTTGCCAGGCAGGAATGGAATCCTTAGGCCGGAAGATAGACTGAGCGGACTTCAGTTCTTTCTGGGGTGAAGAATACATCTTTTAATCCATGAACAATGGGTCTGCCTGGCCTATACTGTAACATCATCTCATATTTATAAATCCCTGTGCTCGCTGCTGTGGGTTTACTGCTTTCACCTGTTCTTTGCAGCCATATAAATAAAAGAACGACCTATTTGGACCCGAGACTGGCATTTACCGTGGATGATAACCCTACAAAGCCAACGACCAGACAGAGATACGATGGTAGCACCACAGCCATGGAAATCCTCGAGGGCAGGGATCTCACTGGCAAAGTGGTCGTAGTTACTGGAGCTAATTCAGGAATAGGTAGGTCATTTACATACAGTTATTATTATTATTATTATTTTTGGTGACTGCTACCATGAAATCCTGTATAGTGATGCTGTGATTTAAAAATGTATTTATAGCCTTTTCAGCTACCGTTCAATTGAAATCCTGCTCTCTTTTAAAATCCCATTGTTATCATGGAGGGCTGGATAGGGGCCGACCTTGAATTCTCTGAAAGCTGAACACTCAGCAAAAGATTGTGGCTATTTTGGTATTCAAGGATTAGAGACCACAGGCCCTGTCTGCGGGTTTCTGACTTGGTCTGTGTGGTGTACGGACATATACCAATTACCTGGGTTCTTCACACTGAAATGGATTGGTAGTGGAATATTGGGAATAACAACGCATCAAGATTTTGGAACAGGATACTGCAGGTTTCAGTTGGTCACCGGCGATATCATTTTCCCTTGGATACGGGATCTTGTTTCTTTATAGAGGTGGAAAATTCGTCTTTGCCTTAACCTCAAACTTAACCCTCTTCATTGCTAGTGTTTAACCATGGTGACCACCTTGAGGTAGATGGCTCGAGGGGGTGTCCTTCCCTTGTCATCACGGGCTATTAAAGAAATAGCTGCAAAGCAGATGCTCATACAGTAACTCCATATGATTTTATTCTTATTTTGTTTTGGTTCATTTACATCAATATCTGAGTCTGTCAGAACCAACTGCTTTGAGTAAGGCTGAGCATCTTCAGATTAAGAGACAAAAATGGAATTGCATTCAGCCATCTTCTGGCAAGTTCTCTCTGTCCTTTTGACTGCCCCCGCCCCTCAGTGGCCCTCCCTTACTGGCCTTCCCTTTCCTAAGCTTTGTCTCCGCACCCCTTTGTGCATGGCCTGTACTCTCTCTTTCTTCATTTTTGGTGACCCCCTTTTCGAACCTCCAGAAACATGCCCTAGCATCATCAGCTCAAGCATGGGAGGTGAAAATATATTCTCAGAGGATTCATTATAGCACAGGGGCCAACATCTAACGCTGCAGTCTGCGGTCCCAGAGCAGAAGTTTTGACTGCACTTGTCTATGAAGGCAAAGTAGCAAATGGAATTTTTTTGCTTGTTTGTTCATTGGAAGGGGTTTCTTTAAAATCAACTCTGAGACCTTATCCTGGGCTCAGAATATGTTCAGTCTAATTTGCTGAACTTCTGTTTTGGGGTAAAGCCTATATGCTTGTCATCAATAATCAAAACTGATGATGCTATGTTAAAAATAATGGCTGAGTCCTTCATCATACAAGAAACAATATGTTACATCGATTGCATTGACTTCTGCTTTGTGAGGGTGTTGACCAGTACTACAGTGTAGAACAATTCAGACAAAATAAGCACTCGAGGACTTCAGTAAAATATCTTTCTATTTAACATTCAGTTAACCAGAAAATTAACTGAAGGATGTCATTTCCTTAATATTCTGGCTAGGCTGTGCTTTCTTTACTTGGTAAGATATGTGGCTCCTGATGCATAAGTGTTTCTACTTTGCTCTGTCCGATGTTAGATAACAGACCTTTGGATTTGGCTTTGTAACATCAAGTGTTTGCAACATCCGGCTTATGACACTGTAATCCAGGACTAATAGAGTTGATTCAGTATATGCAAAGGGCTGTGTTGAGTTGGATATTGAGCCGTGGTTGGAAAGGAGTGGGGATTCTGAAGCATGCAGGATAAGTGCGTGGTTGACCAGAATGGACCTTCAACCTCTTTGAGGAAACCCCCAAACTCTGTGCCTCTTTACAGCCCCCACTTGGCCTTGACAACTGTTCTTGATGTCCATAATCCATTTTGTGAACACTGCAAGTAGGTGTCTGTGGCGTGGCCCCATCAGCTATGGTGGCGAATCCTCAAGCTCAGGATGAAAGGGGTGTTGGGGAAGGTCTTAGGGAGACCAGCTCTTCCGAGCCAGACACCCCCAGCTCGAGCCTTCCCTCAGAAATTGCCTTGAGCACTGCTGCCTCACCCCATTTCTCCTTCCACTCTTGAGAAGCATACCTCTAGGTGAGTGCTGGAGATTTTTATTCTTAATGTTTGAAATAATATCGCCCCGAACATTGCAGGCAATCAAAGCCTTGCAAATAACTTACACTCTGCAGCAGTGGTATCAGGCTTAAAGAAAAGAGGCTGGAGATAGGCACATGGCTTTCCGTCGTTACGAAGTTAGCTTTTATATCCCACGTGGCTGCCTTAGAAAGCGCCCTTGCCCAAGTAGGCTGTGGCGTCTAGATAAAGTCCTTCCTTCTCCTGTACTGTGAAATATGCCAGTTCATACATTGCTATCACCACTTTATTTCTGCCCCTTTCAAATCAAATAGCTGAATGCAGAGTGAATCGGGCATCTTCATTTTCAAGACTCCTGGGCATTCAAGAGTCATCTTCCATCAGAGATTTGATGGCGGTGTTGTTCACTTTTCTTTTGCCACTCAGGGAAGCCCATTTTCATTGTATTAGCTTTCCCATGTTTAGCCTTGTGACTCTCTGTTCTCTTTGAGGCAGAGTGGGCTTGAACAAAACATACCAGTATTTATTAGAGTGATGACTCCATGACTAAAAACATAGGTAATCTAATTTTCTTTACAAAGGCTGATTTACAAATCTGATGTTTCCAGTGTTTTTATTTTTAAATCCCCATAAGTCACTGCTTTGTTGGAATTGCTACTGGGGAGGCTCTCTCTTAGAGAAGAGGACGGGCAGGTAGTAAGAGGGGACACCTTTCCTTGATGAATTTTGGGTTGTACTAGGACACTGCCCCCCTTTGAAAGTGACCTCTAAGCAGATTTAGTCTTGTTACCTTCCTCTCCTGGCTGTAAGTGACATAGAGCTATTTTTTGAATTTTTGATACTTGATTTTATTAAGGCAGTTTCGAGGGGTTCCTGATTAACTCAGAAAGATCAGGGTCATTCTGGTAGAAGAAGGATTTTGAGGAAATGTCAGAATGAAGCATTATGAGTTCATGAAATCTTTGCTTTTACAGTTCAAATATTGTAGCTAGATATCACTGTTGACTGGATTTGGCCATCTAGATTGGGGGTTGGCAAACTGCGGCTCACGGACTAAATCTGACCCACCGCCCAATTTTGTAAGTGGAGCTGCATTAGAACACAGCCATGCTCATTAACTTCCATTTTGTCTGTGGCCGTTTTTGTGTAACTAGCAGAGTTGAGTAATTACGGTAGAGACCATATGACCCGCAAAGCCTAAAATACTTACTATCTGGCTGTTTACAGAAAAAGTTTGCCAGCCCCTGCATTAGATGATCTAATTCCTTTCAAAGTCAGATCACCCTAACATTTTCTCAGTTCAACACAATTTACATAAATGGGATGCCCCCAGGCCACAGGAAGATTGTGGCAATGCCTCAGATGTAACTTTTGGGGACGTCCCACGAATACCTTGCACCCTTTGTCTCAACTCTGTTTCCCCCCCTTTTTAGGGAGCTGCAAGCATTAGGATGTTGCCGCCTCGGAAACTAACACTCTTCTCTCCTTGACCTTTGTTTAACCAGCGTTCTGAACCCGAAGACCTTTGTAGATTGAAAGCTGTAGCTTGTGGACCTCTCTGTGTGGAGATCAGCATCTCAGTATCCAGGGGGATGTCATCTCTTCACCCAAAGCTCCTAGCAGACCAAGAGGCCTGGAACCCCACAGCCCCGACTGCTAACCAGTAGAGGCAAGGGAGGAGTTCATGTCTGTCGGTGCTCGACGTGGCACCGAGCAGGACGGGGCAGAGTTTCGCAGCTCTCTGGAGTTAGGGGCTTGTTGGCTCTGATCTGGTAAAGAATGAATGGAAATGGCTTCAACATGGTGATCATTAAACACAAATCTTATTGGGAAGTCTCAGGAGAGGAAATTCCTCAGGCTAGGGAATTTCCCATCATAGACGATCCCAGAGCCTCTTGTCTAGACTCAACCTGTCAATCAAGCTAACTTGTCTTCAGTAGCTCAGTGTACAGCGCTGCCTCCTTGAATCCGAGGGCTGACATGTGCACATCGAATGCCTAATGTGGGACTCCCCTGTTGGCTGTTTCTTGTTGACTGGGACTTTAGTTGGAATTCACGCTGTTTCAATGAGCAGACAGATATATATCTGCATCGGATTTCAGGAGTGAAATCCAGGTTTTGTCAAACATCCATTTTAAAACTATTAACAATTATGAGCAAATTAGATACTTTCAGTCTCACGTTCATTGGTAACGGTGATATAGCTTTCTTCTTATAATCTTAAACCAATAGTGGATAAAATTTGATTATTAAATCCCTTTCAGAGTTTAGTCAGGATGTAAAGTTCCTTTCACCTTTTGAACCTTACTAATGCTGGGCTGCATCAAATGTTATTTTAAATCTACAGTAGCCTGGGCTAGTTTTGGTTTTCGAACCAGAGGATTCATGAACCAGAACAAAACTTTTTTTCCCCAAATACAAGCTGGCCACCTTGGTATATACCAGTAAAATGTATTTTAGGACTGACACTTCAGTTTTCTATTGCTGTTCTTGTTATATAACCACCTCCCTAAGGTTTATTACAGGGATTCTCATAATGTGTGTGTGTGTGTGTGTGTGTGTGTGTGTGTGTGTGTGTGTATAAAAATATATGTGTATATGTATATGTGTGTTTGTATGTATACATATATACACTCACTTAAATATCAAAAATTACATATTTTGAGATGTAAAAAGTACATACACAAGCTATCAAAGTCACCCCTAAATTTGTTCCCCTTGAAACAAATGAATGTACCAGATTTTCATGCAGGAATCCTAAAATGTTTGTATAGTATAATACTGAAATTGGTTGTTTTAGCTTAGCCCATTTTTTTAAAGCTCGGGGTCTTGTTCCTAAATCCTGTGTTGCAATTATAGTGTAAAGTACAGTTGCTATATTCTTTTAGCCTACAAATCATCACCATGATGAAATCATATCTGCTGTAAATTCTACCAGTTCCACAGTAATATGAGAAAATTACTTTTCTTCATGTAGAAAAGTGTATTCATTCTTAAGATTGTAAATCCGCACTTCACAATCCTGAACTA